TATCATTCGTCATTGCCTATAACAAAATCATAACTAAAATCAATAAACATAATTAATTACTATTTCAAAATATAAAAATAAACGTCAATTAGTGTTATAAATTATATGATTGTAATAGAGTGCATCATAAAACTATTAAAACTCGAATTGGACTGCCTTGTTAGTTTGTACATATAAAATTATATAATTTGTATCTTAAACAAGTAGATGATAGCATTGATTAGAAACTATACAAGTATTTATAATCAATGATGATAGTAATAAAATCCATTTAGTCATTAAACAAATTGCCTAATAAAATTTAAATTGGGACAATGAAAGAATATATCACGTCCACAAACATATTTTTCAATTTTGTGACCCCAATCATTTTTATGAATGTAAATTACCTATTGCAAAACTATAGACTTTTTAGAAACTAAAATTTTCTATTTTGAAAATTGTAATAAATAGTTGGGTATTTTTGGATAGTTCAAAATCATTCAAAAAATGTCAATTTTATAAATTTGAATTTAATAGTTGAGTCAAACCTATGTTTATGATTCATTATTGTCTCACAACTCACTTATCAATAGTATTTTTTTAGACTTCTCAGAGTTGCTTATTTCCTACAATTTGACATAAGTTAATTAATTAAACAGTAAGTCAAAAACCTTATACAAGATGCAGGTCATATGAAATAAGTATACATACCTTACATCCAAACAGCTGTTTAGTGTATGAAGGCCTGTATAATATAATATTTCAGCAACATAGACAATCAAACATAATGATTCAGCTATTTAAATAACTCATTTAATTACACATGTTTTTACTGTATGACTAATAATAAACTTTCATCACTTCCCTTTGAACATCATTAATTGATTTAAACATCAACATAATATTATTGCTTTGTGCTAACTATTTATAACTAATTAGCGTAGAACACTAGAACAGCTAGTTTATTAAGATTTATAGTACAAATTTATATTAAGAGTGAATTTTCCATTATAATTAAAATTACAAGTGTATGCACTGACCGAGTTGTGTTGTTAATTTTTTGTAGAAGCTTACATTCCAACCAATTGTTCTATTATATCAACAGTCTACAACAGTTGGATAGCTATTAATTAAGTTAATGACATCATGTTTTTATTGAATAACATGCTAACATCCTTCAATATAATATATGAACACAATAATATGATCTTTTTCTGCCATTATAATATGTTCTATGGTAATAATACTAAGTGCACTGTAATGTAGTTCTACATGAATAAATCAGCATCCAAATTTAGTAGGTACCTAACTATAGTCTGTTCAAAATGATATCAGACCTCGGCGGCGACCAGTTTTTGTTCCGCGACGGTCAGACGCCATCCCTAGAACAGCGGCATGTTGAGTGCTGCCACGGAACAAAGCCACGCTCATGCGCCCAACTCTGCCGCCGGGGTCCAATCTCATTTTGAACAGAGTATATATTTTTATATTAATTGAGATTATAAAAAAATAAAAACATTTATAAGTATATAATATGAACAACATATAATATTAAGAATAAATAATTTTCATCCAAGAAATCAAAAATGAATTTAAAAATTAACTTTTACCAATTAAAATAACACAAACATGAACTTTGATTATTTTGAAACATAAGAAAAAATTTTATGGGAGGATATTCATAAAATGTATAATATATTTTTGATGTCTGTTCATAAAAACAGATTTAATAATGAATTTTTGTTTCAAAAATGAAAATGCAAAAAACTATCAAAAATTAATATTAAAAAAAAGTGTTTTCAACATAAATATTACGGACTTTATTCAGTTTTATTGGTTACATTTTTTTTTAACTGCCTGTATGCTAACACTGCGGAATCTCTTTCTTTTTCTATTATCCTCCGATCAGATATAGACAATGCTTTGCGTTTGCCTGTGAATGCTTTACGTTGAATAGCACTTTTACTAGGTTTTTTTAAGATGACATCACTTATTTTCTTTGTTTTTGCAGAATTTCCAGTATCTGCTAACATGGACTTTAAGAACAAGTCATCTTTACGACCAGGCTAAAACAAATATAATTAATAATCAGTAAGTAAGTTTTATATTATAAAATAGTACAATAAAACATGAATAACAGATTATGTTTTTTCTTACTCTATTTTCAAAATGATTAATAACTGCTTTTCTTGGTTTTACAGTCAAATTTGGAGGACAATGTACAGTTTCTCCAAATTCAAAATTGTCTTTAACATATTCAGTTGCATGTTCTACTTTATCTTGTGTATCTTCATCAAGTTTTTGCTTTTTCTTTTCTTTTTTTTTATCTCTTTTAAGTTTAGTTTTTAATTGTCTTTTTCGTTTAGCTTGAACTAATTTTTCTTTAGTAGTCTGGACTGCTATAGCTTCAGTAGCAACAACTCCACTTTCCCGAATAACATGAACTTGTTCAGGTTTTTCTTCTAGTTCAAATGCACATTTTTGATTATTTTTTGTAAATCTATTTCCTATATCTATGTATGGTTGGTTTATATTTTTCAAACTACGTTTAGCTAATTTTTTTAGTTGCATAAATTCACGTAAACTTCGAGGCACATCTTGACGTTTAGGATCTTTGGGAGGCTCGTTAGTTTTTCCTTTTAACCTGTATTCAATTAAAAATAGTTAGATTATATCAAAGCATAATAAATGTTAAGTTCTATAAATAGTATGTAATGAAGAATTAAGTTCTAACAGTAGTGAAATAATTTTCAATTTAGTAACTGATAGATTTTGATAAGACTTATAAATATCACTGTATCAGCTTAGGTTTATTTGATTATTAATTGTATAACAATAAAATGTATTAAAAGAATGTTACTTTATGAAGTACCTACAGTAAATAAACGAGTATATTATAAATGATTGAAAAAAGATTAAGTATTAACAATATTTATAACAAGAATCGTTTTAAGGAAAGGTCAGTTAATGTTTCAATGCCTCTAAGCTCGATTACCTAAGTAGTAGGTGATACATTTTGTACTTGTAATTAATACGGGCACATGGCAACTAATTGGTAAATAATATTCATAAAATATGTTCATAGTGCATTAATAATTCACACATTGTCATTAGTAAATCAAATTATATTGTACTATAGTACCAGTCAGTAGGTACTAGGTACAAATGTTATAAGTGATAGATTCATTCAACATTCTCAAGTATAAAGTCACTAGAATGTATTCAGAAATTTTTCTATTTGGCATACAATATTTTTTCATAGGGAATTTAAAGAAATAACTTTATTATTGTTTGTAGATTAAATACAAATATCTAAATTATCTAAATACATTTGTATATCTTACTTACTCTTCATTACGTTTAGAGATTTGTTCAAATACATCTTTTACTTTTTTTTGTTTTTTACTTTTAAATTTTCGAGCCATTTTACATGAATATAAACAAAAACTTAATTAAAATTACAAAAATCAAAACAAAAGCACGTTGGTGTCGTCGTAGTGTCGTACTGTATGTTGTGTGCCGTGCATGTTAACTATGTTATCACTTATCAGTGGAAAACAATAACAAAAATTGTTCTGTGATAATAGTGGGCATATTATCATTCAGCTTCAAGATAAAATAAATATTTATTTTTCTATCTATTCTGTTTCATCTTTCATTAAGTTTATGACCTGTTCCCACATACTTATTACAGCAATATGTCAAAATTATTCAAAAATGTACTACAATTATTTTATTTTAAAAAAAGTTTAGCAATACGCTTTTTGTATATCTCTTAAAAGTTAAAAATATTAAAAGCTTATTTTAACCAGTAAATAGATCGGTACCTACTGCCGTACGTTGTCACGTTGTCCGTGCATAACATAGGTAATCGTCTCGGTAGGTCGTAGGTCACATGCTCAACTTGATTTTCGCTCTGCAAATCACATACATGCAGTGGCGATTCTAGAGGGGTTGTAGTGGGAGGGGGTGAAACCCCCCTAGAGTACAGTCAACAACTGTAAATTCTATTCGACATTTTATAGCCATTCTCAAGAAGTAGTTATAATACCTAAAATCTTAATACTTTTTTTATTTTTTTATTTAAATTGACATTTGTCGTAAATCGACAATAATTGTAATGGTAAATAACTAGGCAATAATTAATAACAATAGGCAGATCGCAGATATTATTCAGATATTATGGTATGCTCTTATGCATAATAATATGATACCTATTCATACACGGACCACTGGAATACTATCAGTTATCATAATGTGGGTATAATTAATATATAATAATATAAGAAACATGAATTAAAATGTTGCTATACAACCATTAATAATCATTATCATGCTTATAAGGGCAGTCGTCAATTTCGTCAATTCTCGTGAACCACAGATTATTGCTGTATGTCAAGAACCCAATTATTTAAAATAAAAAAAAAAACAAAAATACATTTACTTTTAATATTATTAGGTAATGAGATTATGAGAAGAATGAATCTGTTTCATTCTTTGACTTACATTACTTATAATAGTTTTTATATTGGGTTTTATACCTGAAAGTTGAATTCGTAGGTCTGGTGCGGGCATCCCATCTATGTATGTATTTATGTTTAGTATAAGCATAAGAGAAAAAACATTTTTTTATAATATAAAATTTTTTCCAAATATAATAAATAGTTTTCTCAATAATCACATACATCTGACGGAACCCTTGAGATTGTCCCGCGGAACATATTACGGGTACCGCTGCTCTAGATAATAATCTCAGATTTAAATTTTATAAGATGTTAATAAATTCACACATATTTTTTAATTAAAATAGCTAAATGTGATCTGCTGAGAGTCAAATTGGTATGTTACGCACTTGTAAGACGGGACAATAAATGTTTGTGTAGCGTATAAATAATTTAACTATATAATATATATACATAAATATACTATATTTTTTACCAATGGTGTACACTGAACCAAGGTTAGGTTAGGTTAGGTTAGGTGTAATGTCCTCTTAAGAAAGAAAGAGATCTTATCTGTTAACTATTTACTGTTATCTTGGTAATTGATAACATTGATAAACGGAGTAATGACGTCATGATGAAGAATAATAATTTTCCCTGCTATGATTAATTTGTGGATTGATAGCGAAGATAACAGAACCAGACAACTCAAGTCGTAGAGTCGTACTAAACATACAACTGTTTGATCACCAATGAGTACTATGGCCAAGACCAACTTCACTTATTGTAATAGAGTGCAATAATAATCTTGTTACAAAACATTAATAATTGTTATTTAATATTTAGAAAAATTATTAAGTTGTATACATTTTTATGTGTAAACATAATTACCAACGTTAAATTTATCAAGTATTTTTTTGAACAAGTTATTTTTGAAACAATATAGTATATTCTACCTATTCTAAAATGTGTGTTCCTTTTCAAAATCCGTGTGCTACCACTTTATAACACTCATAGCAACAATAAATTGTCAAGTCACATTACATGTCTCGCATAGACTTTTGCCCTTTGGAGTCACAGGAATCCTTAAAAAGGTAAAAAAACAAAACAAACTTTATCTCTACATTTTCTATTCTAATTTCCAGCTATCTCTGTTTGCAAACCTTCATATCGCCTCTTGATGTTCCTCCTTTTATTACTATATGTTAAAATAATAATTTATTGATCGTATTTCAGGTTTCGACTATTGCCTTGAAACAACACATGCATTCTACAAGGCCAATTAATTGCGGCGCTGTTGATCAATGGGAAACTGTTTTTCATGTTTGCGCTCTAAGAGTACCGCTAGGCCGGTGGCACGTTCCAGTGACAACGAAAATTCAGACAATGTACCAGACAAAAGAGTTGAAGGTGAATTAACCATTTAATAACCCATTTGTAATGAGAAAATAATAACTGTATGAAAATTTATTGACTTAAGCTTTGCTTTAATTCTTTTATCAAACTATTATTTAGACTAATTAAAAATCTTTACATAATTTGTATTTAAAAAATATTAGATTGCTAATTTAGCATAAGGCAGAGATAAATGATTATTATAACATCTACACTTAATACTTGTATGATTCGGCAAGTTATATTAAAATAAAATATCATTATTATTTTTACTATTAAAAAAACACTTGCAGTTTAATAAGTTGATAAATGATGATTAATTTAAATTTATATAGTACTTAAAATTAATTTTTTTTTTAATTTAAATTTATATAGTACCTAAATGTAGAAGGAAAGAGAGAGAGAGACAGTTTAGACCGCACAAGTATACATTCAAATATTTAAAAACCAATATTATTGTGATTTGGCCCACTTCTTAAATTGGTTGGCCTGAAAATTTGATATATTTTTGACATGATTTATGACATGCAAACATGAAACATATGTATATGAAAATAACAATTATGCTTTTGGAAGGAAAAGTAGACCTAAGAATAGATTGATGGACAAAGGAGAGAATGACAGGCAGATAGCTGATGTAACTAAAGGTGAGGTGGGTATGATAGAGACATAGAGCTCTATATGGAAGTGTAGGACAATAGTATGGTTGAAGTAGAAGAATAGTACCTAAATAGTAAATAATAATCTTAAATATCCAACTTTTAACTTAAAAATGGTAATATAATAGTATAAAATAATTGAAGATTACAAAACCATATACAGATACCTAACTGAAAAGAACAGTTTAGGTGAAGTTTTGTTGGAGATGCATAAGCTGATATTGTTTTAATCTCTGTCCTCTTACATTTTCTCCAAGTTTTCTTTTAGTAAAATAATTGCATTAGGTTCAAACTTAGTTGTATTCAAAATTTCAAACTAATGTTTCTTTTTATGTTATGCAGGTCTAGATTCAAATGATTTAAATCCCCCAGTGATGGCTATGAGCAATGGAGCTCATAATGCTCCTGTTTTAGGATCAGTGGGTAGTGATAACTGTGGTAGCTTGCGTTCCTCGTTTACCTGTACTCGTTTGACATCAACATTAAACAAGACCAACATAAGGTTGAATAACTTTGCCACAAAAAGTTTCCAAACCAGGGTTCAAAAGTTATTCGATATGTACAAAGATGCTGTCGAAGACTTGATATTAATTGACGGAATTGAAAGACTGTGTAGTGATTTACAGATGTCACCTGAAGAATTCCGCATTCTTATATTAGCATGGAAATGTGATGCTCATCAGATGTGCCGATTTACTCGTGCAGAATTTCTTAATGGTTGTCATGCACTTCAAGTAGATTCTGTGTCATTGATGAAAAATAAATTGTCAGATGTAGCCAATGATCTCAATTATAATACTGAGGAATTTAAAAGTTTATACAGGTAAATCATTGTTGCACTATTTTAATACTAATAGATTTTATAAAAAATTTCATTTCCAGGTTTACATTTAAATTTGGGTTGGACAATGCTGTGGGACAACGTATTCTTCCAGTTGACACCGCTATTGTATTATGGAAATTAATTTTTAATATCCGTGAACCAGAAATATTACAACGTTGGCTAAACTTTTTGGAAAGTCAAGATAATATAAGAGGTATTCCTAAAGATACATGGAACATGTTTTTAAATTTTGCTGAATCTGTATCCAATGGGGATCTTTCTAACTATGACGACACAGAAGCTTGGCCAAGCGTTTTTGATGATTTTGTAGAATATGAAAATGATCAAGCCAATCAAAACATTAGCGAAAAAGGAACTGGAAAAAAGCATGGCAGTGTACTTTAAAATGACATAAAAGACTATCACTATTTTTTTGTGTGTTATTAGACTTAAAAACAATGTTTGACAAACATATTGTTTTGTAATAATAACCTAAAAATCATCAATTTATTACAAGCCCGTCCAATATTAATATAAACCTTTGTGGTATTTTAATGGCAATATTACTTTATAAACAAATCTAAAATTGTATGTATATTAAGTTGGATTAGTTCAATTTATTATTTATTTTTAATTTACCTATAGATCAAAATAAATAATTCATATTTTTATAACAGTGTCTACTGTTTATATTAATTTACTTACATTTTTGCATATTTACTTTCATATAAATATTTTTTCAAGTGATTTCTATTGTGTTCAAAAAATATAAGCTCTTGTATCGGTCCTACTAAATGCAACAAAATTGGTTCCTTTAAGTAATCCAATCACTAATATTTTTCCACTTAAGTATTTGGAATCAAGAAAGTTTGGCATCCGGTTTTTAGGTCTCAGTTTTGAGTGCTGAAAATAATCATTTTATAAAAGACTGACTGAAGTTGTTAGTCAACAAAAACCTGTGATACTATTCAAGCTTGATCAATGACAAGCGTTTAAATCTTGCTAATATGTGCGATTTTTTTTCTTCGCTGTAGTTAAGAATATTTAAATATTTAATTAAAAATAAAACAAATGTTGATATAAAATATAAATATAATATGTATAATATACTATATTATTAACGCTACTACAAAAACAAAATAATAAATATGTAATCTTAAATAATGTACAATGATTTAAATTACGATAATGTATGGATAATTTATTTAAAGTTTGTTTGGGGTTCTGTTAATTTTGCAAAAAATAATATTTCTATGATATAAATAGTTTATTTATTTCTAAATTTAGTAAATTATTTTAACACTATCCTCCTTTTCATATCTATGTTATGAATATATAATGTGATATTAGCCACAAAACCAAATATTTATTAATGGTTATTTAAAATAGTCAGACACTCAGTATACATAACCCTATGATTAATTCAACTGATTTATATTGTAAATATTAGTAACTATGGATATAATAAAATACGAACACTACTGTGATTAATATTATTGTATGATGTGTCAAAAACATAGTTTTTAACTTTTGATACAAAATATATTTTTATTTAAAAAATTTGGGTGTAAATGTGTATTATCCAGTAAGTCAACTAGGAGCATTTAGGACATGTAAAAACAAAATTTTACTTAATATATTATTATACTTACCGTTATTACATGCTTGATTACTTACATAGTTGCATCTCTATTTTTTGTACAAGATACTGAAAATTGATTTTCGTTAAACAGGGAACAACTTTAAATTTTTGAAAATTTCATGACATCAATGACATCACAATTAGAATTTGTATAATAAATGAGGGTTAGTTCTTTTGCTGCAAATTTTAGTTCCATTTCCGATCGAATGAAACTGTTTTTTTGGCCGTTTTATCTATAATCGTTTTGAATATATATGACAGAGCTCTAGACGATCAACCCAGAAGATGTGTGGATGACCAATCGAGAATCTAAGATTTTTTCTGAGCACTCCGAATCATAAAATATGATAAAACTAAAAGTGTCTCGGGAAATACGGGACATGTGGATGTGGCAAAACCCAGAAGTCCCCCACTAGCCCAGGGGTAATTCAGTGGAGTATGACATCCCCCTAAAGTCGACAACTTACTGTCATTTCCAGTCGTCATTTTATAGCAATTCTAAGTCGTATAATACCTATAATATAAATGTTTTTCCTTGAACTAACGATTATTTACGATTCGAACTTAACGATCGTCGTAAATCGTAATGGGTGATAACAGTCAGTAGATGTTACGCTATGCTCTTATGCATAATAATATAATATAGTATAATGCATAAAAACTGAAATACTTATTGTTATCATATGGTTTCAAATAGATAATTATATAAAAAATATGAATTAATATACCTATAGCTAGGTATGCAACCATTAATAATCATTTTTAAGGCCCGGAAGTTGATGCCCTAATAAGCCTATACAAATGTCCTAAAAAAATGAATTAATGACTTTAAAAGCTCAAAAATTCCGTAAAATTTGAATATTTTGCTTATGATCTAAATACTTGAACAACTCAAGAGTTAACGATTTGAGTTAATACGATTATTTATTAATCTTAAAATGATACTTGATTTTGATTTTAATTTTAATTTCAAAAATGGTTTTCATCTAGTAAACAATTGAAAGTTTTGTTTTAAGTATTTTTTATAAAATTTGATAAATCAATTGATGAAAATTATAAAAATATGATAATAAGAAATGATTAACTCTTAATTTTTCTCTCAGTTGTTAAAAAAAGGCCTCTAATTAAAAAAAATGACCTTAAAAGTCACAAAAATAACCTAATAAGCCAAAAAACCCTAAAATTAGTTGTATACAGATTGAAGATGCGTACTCTATTAAAATACATTTTACGTTGGTAAATCATCGTCGATCGTGTTTCAATAAAAGATGCAAAAGTCTACAACCCGGGTGTAGTCAATATCACTTATTACTAGAAGGGTAGTCGTCATTCGTCAAGACTCAAAATCCCGCGGATTATATTCTACAAAATGAAAATACCGATTTCTGTAAAACAGATATTGTTGAATGTTAGTTCAATTGACATCCATGCTATTGTTACAAAATGGTCCTTGGCCATACATAGAAGAATACAAAATTAATCTTTTTAATCAACATCGCAACATGCAAAATAAATTAGATAACTTAAGTAAATCGTATGTATAAATTCAAAATACATAGTCATTGTTCGATTATTGAAAAATAAATTTTCTATATCTATTTGTAATGTGTTGTAAAATATGCCTTAAAAATGGAAATATTCAATCATCATAAGATACAATATAATTTATACTATAGTTAAAAATGCTATTCCAGAAAAAACATACAGGAATCTGGGCTTTAATATTTTTTTAAATACAGTGGTCATTTGCTTATTATAATCTGCATAGTTAATGTTTTCAATCATATTGTTATCAAAAACTTAGTAAGGAACCCAAATTTAATTCCTAAAAATATGGGGCATTTTAAATAACATCTCTACTTGTAATTATTTACATAGATGTTAATTAAGTGGAAGAGGCGCAGTCCCTCAAAATTCAAAAGTTTTTTTACTTTTTTAATAACCACTAGGTTTTTTTGTGGTTAAGTACCTGAAACAAATATTGAAATACTGGATATTAGATATTTAATTTTGTATTGGATACCAATATTTATTGTTAACCTGCAAGGACGTAACCTAACCCCCCCCCCCCCCCCCCGAAAATTTGTTTTCAGTTACAGCCTTGTTGTTAACATAAAATAGGTATTACAAAATTAAATATGTAATATTTCTTATAAAAATTCTTTGTCAACATTTGGTAACTAAAATTACATTTGGCATCAATTATTTTTCCTCACTTTGAAAAAAACTCAATATTCAATTTTTGCCAGTTGAAAGGAATTTACTAACATTAATTAATGCGGTTATATTTAACGCTGTTAATATTTTTCCTGGTTAATTGGGGTCTCAGCAAAAATGTAGGTAAATTGAGTCCCGGAAAAAAGGTTAGTCCGTTCATCCTATTTTTTTAATATCTAATAATCTTAATTATAAGTCAAATTGTATTATTAGGTATGGTATAAATTGTATAAATTAAAAATTAATTTCATTTTTATTAAAATTAAATTTAAATATATGTGTTTTATTATCTTTGTTAGAAGTATAAATGTAATATGGTGGCTACGGTCAGGTAGGTAAGTGGGTTTCTGCTTAGTACTCGAGTGAGAAACCGAGAACCCGCTTCGTATTATAAAGTATTATAAATGAACTAAATGAACTAATAGAATTATTTATGATGCACGCGTAATGTCTAAGGAACCGCGGGCCACGATGGCATGGCTAATGGCTATAGATAATTATTACATATATAATATTAGATACTATCTTAAATCTTGGTTAGAAAATAGAAATGAGAAGAAAGTAGATTGTGGAAATGCGGAATTTATGTCCTGAAGTAGTGAAGTTCAATATTTTATTGAACACCATGATCTATTGAACACGAACGATATGAAAATGTTTTTCACCGTTAGATGTCGTCACACAAATCGCGTTTTCATAATAATAATAATAATAATAATAATAATAGTAATAATAATAACAATAATGATAATCGCGGTACCTATGTAGTAAGTTGTAGGACGACGAGTTTTCCACTCGTCGTCTCGTCCCGTAATAATTCCGCCCGTCCGTTGACGACGTCCGCGCCCCACCACTAACGGGCGACACAGCGCATGCGTGGCGCTACAACCGCCGGCTGTGTGCCGCCGCCGTAGCCTTGCCGACTGCCTTACCGTACGTAGCGATAATACTCGACCGACGGTAACATTATTATTTATTAGTTTATTACGTTGAACGTTCCCTTCTTATCCGGTGTCGCGCGATTCAATAATTTTTATAATTATTAATATTATTATTATTATTATTATTGCGAGAGGCATGACGCGAGTCGTTGATCGTCGTTGATCGTTATTCGTTATTGACAGTGTACGACCGTACGAGATTTACGTACTCCTTTTCGCGTCGAGTTCGCTTGCGTGAGCGTAGTCGAGATAACCGGTCGATTTACGACAACGTTCGTGTCGAAAAGAAATCGGATCAAGACCAAGACCCTGGCACAAGAGGGTGGCCCAACACCAACCCGAGACTGTGTCACCATGTCGCGACCGGATTTTATGCCACTTTCAGAGCGGTGGTTTTCCGATTTCTTAGACTGAATGTAAATAGGTACAAATTGTATCTAAAGCAACTGACACTTGACAGCCAGAACTTGTCTAACGGAGACGTTGATGTTAGAGGTGCCCCAACGGAACTGTTGGATTCGGGACATATCTTGCCCTCTAGAACTACACAGGAGACTATTGCCGCCACAGACATTATTTCATATGCAGACTTCACAATGAGGAAGCTAAGCGGTAAGTGCCTTGTGCCTATTTTTTATCCTCATTCTTACCAAGTATTTGCCCTTCAGGAATTCTGTTCAGTCTTTTTGCTTTCCCATCTTTGATTGTTGTGACAATGCATTGTAGTGGTCACATGACATTTGTCCAGACTAATTACGTAAGAAACAATGAATAAGAGTACCTACTATGAATAACAACTTACCAAGTTACTTGTTGTACTAATAAATACCTTCGTAAATACCTAAACCTAATGCAAGTTAATTTTATATAGGTAGGTAGGGAAGTCTAGGTACAGTCATTTTTGAATGAAATCTTTTTTATATACCTACCTCCTGATTACTGCCTCAGATCAAGTTAAAACAATTTCAAAATGATAGGTCAACAGCGGTTAACTATGATGCAAGTAGCTGTAGTACCTACCTATTTTTTCTAATTTATAGGTAATAAACTAGTTTTTTGTTTTCAAAGTACTTAGGTAGGTACATAAATTAGAAATTACATCAAAGTACCTGATAAAATTGTATTTATTCAAATTGATATAGGTACTTAGGTACCTGTTGAGTTTCGTATTTAAATATTACTCATATTTAGAGTAATACAATTATATTTGTATTGTTACATTAACATTTATTATGTTTTATGCTCTATTAGTCAATAGTTAAAAATGTAATTAATGAACATTCAGTTCAGTTAGACAGATGTTAGACAGATGGCATATTTATGAAACAGTTTTTTTATTTTCAATTCTCATGGGTGTGATTATTTTATGTATGTGAAAACACAAAAAACAAAGGTCATCTCTGTATTAAATTTGTTTATAAAAAGTTGATGTAGGTACTGTATGACTTACATATCTAGATACTAGAATATATTATTTTATATCCTTTTTTTTTATTGATTGCATGAACAATTCATACCTAAGCATAAACAAATAACGAAATAACTTATATTCAAATTGTATTTAAGTTTTTAGCAGTTTTTGGTGAGTCGATTTGATATGTCTACAGTGTAGATTACTATGGTGTAAACTAAAATGTGTGTTATGTTGTTTATAATATATTCATTTGACACATGCAAACTATACAAATAATTCAAATTACTGCTTAGCATAGTAGATAGGTACATAACATGTATTTAAATCAGGATTGAAATATTGGTTAATTTGCTTACACATATTTTCATAGTACCTCTCTATAGGTAGTAGTTTTTTCATAATAATATTTAAAATATTTTATTATGAAATTTCACCCTTTAATTATTACTCTGTTAATTACCATTACCAATATCATACAATGTTATGTAAATATTAAATACGAACGAGTGAAGGTTGTAAATTTGATTTATGTTTATTCATTTTAACGTTTTAATGAGTCATCATTTTCCCAAACTTGCACGGAAAAAATGTATAAGCAATATCTATTATGAGTCAAGTCTTCAAGTAGGGATATATTAGTTATAAATTATAATACAATTTGATGACTCTAAGACACAATATTAAAAATAATTTACTTTATAAGGTTTAAAGCAAGGTCTAAAGGTGTATATTTTTTTTGTGACTTTATTTTGAAAATATTACAATCTATACATGGTGTATTTTTTAAAAAAGTTTCTGAAAGAAAATATTCCCGTTTTATGATTTTTCCTTTTATACTAATCCAAACAGTGAATACAATATTGTCGCTAAAATTATTATAAAAATAATAATTTGGGTAGTTGAAACATTTTTCTCAGGCAAAATCAGTATCACATCAAAAGTAATGTTGCCCCACAGCAGTAACATACATTAATACGACACTGACTGATTACTATGTTGAATTTTTTTGAAATGTTTCCTTTTATTTTCGTTTGTATGCTGTTTTTCTATTGTATTCCTGATTGGTTTATGTTAGGTAAAGTAAAATAGCCATAATAAAAACTCGTAAAACTGCTTGTGTCAAACCCCAAATTCATCATGATTCATCATACCCTTTCCCTTTGGATCTTGAGTAACCTAGTTAGTTGAAGACAGTACGGGTATTTGATACTATCTGAGGTTTATTAATATGATGTAGCGGTACCTTGTTGGTATAAATGTGGTTAAAAATATTTTAGGTTATTTTATCACCTTGTTTTGTTTATATTATGATTTATGAGTAAATAGTAAATACTTAGATGAATGATGTACCTAATGTTGTAAACTGACTAAATATAGACGGTAAATTATGAAGTAATTCACTCATTTGACATGGTAATTGTGTTTTGTTGTACCCCCTCCAAAAAAAAAAACTATTTAAATTCTAGTCTTGGTATCAATAAAGTCATTAGCGGTATTCGGTAAATCGTTATTTAACGTTTGATTACCTATAGAATTTCTACAAAATGATTAATTTTAAACTATCATACAAAATGTAGGTACCTACCTATGTTATTGTACGATAACTTTTTTTTATTTCAATTTTCAATATAAATCTTATATAACTAAAATTTTAAATTCTTAGGTATTTAAATTAAAAATGTAATATTTTTAACTACAGAATTTGCAGTTCGCACATACTTGATTTTGTTGAATTTTGCAACATTTAAACTTCAAATCCTCATAAAATAAATCGTAACTTCGAATTGCTGAAGTATAACTTTTTTTATGAGGAACGTTGTATTAAACTGTTAAGCTTTATCTGTCTTACAAATGTACAGCATATCAAAATTTAGTTCAGTAGCACCAATTTGGTATGGTTACCTCATATTATTTTGCCTGTTATCAAGCTTCGAGATAAGAACATTATCTCCGTTTGAAGATTGAACCTTAGTTCCTCATGATTTATTGATTTTTAAGCAAATTAAGGTTGTTTTAAAATTGAAATATTTGTTTTATTTATTTATAATAATAATTATTAATAATTTATGTATAGTCATAACTCGCCTACAAATGAAAATATCGTTAAAAACCTTAAAATTACTTAATAACCTACAAACTGATGGTTGTTCTTACCTTTAGGTTTGATAATATGCAAATTCGCTCGAATAATAAAGTGAACACAAAATGAACTCAAATTCACTAACAGCACATTCGGTCGTTTAATTATAATTATTGATTTGATTTATATGTTTATCGTTCAATATTACTTGTATTGTAAGTGGGTAACTATAGTAATCTATAAATTCATATAATGGCTAATGAGTAATAAGGACTATCAGAAAACTATTGGTACCTACTTGAAAGTTGAAATGATTAAATAGGTTGGGTAGGTCATTGTTTTGGGTGCGTATAAATTTTAAAGTATTGAAGATAAAATCCTATCCATCGGTTATCGTTCACCCAGTTAAAATAACACTTATTCTAATTTTTGTGGTACTATTCCTGTATCCCAAAATCGGATTCGAATATATCTTAATTCGTTGTGAAATGAAGAATATCGAATAATTGGTTGAGTTTTGTAACGACCGTGACTGCAGTGCCTTAATACAAATCGCTTATTTATCAGTTATAAAACATGCATATTACGTACTTACTATTTACCTAAATATGTATCGTATGCGTTCTACGTGTATAGCACACTGGTATAATTGTAAACGATCTACTAAAAACTACCTACAAATTGGTCAGCAAATAGTTAAAAAAAATATATTTAAAAAAGGCTTTTATACAAAAATTATTATTACTTTATTAGTTACTTATAGAAAATGGCTTTCATGTTACATAAAATATAAAATTATATATACGTGTATAATAAAATATTTTAAAAATTATTGTTACTAGGTATATTAATTATTTACAAAAGTGCCTTTTGTGAAATTTAGGAAATAATCGAAAATGTAATCCTTTGATGGATGCATAAATCTCCAGCATTCTTCTTGCAACCTCCTTTCAAGCAAATGGGAAGTTCCACTTACTCGTTTAGAACAATTTTGTAATTCACCATATACATTCAATGTTCTCGGTATGGACTCCAGTTAATGGGGCTATACAATTTTCCCTTCGATTTTCACTATGATTTATAGTTTATAAATAAATTCCAGTTGATTCAAATTTGAGTATGCTTTCAATTTATCACTGGATAGTGGAGCCTAGTTCTACTCCTCTCACAATTGTGGGCAAAGGGTACTTTCGTCTCTTTTTTTTTTTACAAAAAAAATTGTCTTTCTAGAATCTGATTGTGCCCCCAACGTAAGTTATTTACTTCACCATTTACCCTATACTCGTAATCCACGATTCCTGTTACTGGCTTTTGAATTTGGATCTTCGTTTTCATCATTATCATCTATTTTAAGGTCTTCGTCTTCTTAATTGTCTACAGTTTTGAGGCTCGCAAGCATTAAACAACCTCTATATTGCAAATACGTTTCCCTTGAAAAAGAGATTCGTCATCTACGTATCTCGACAACACTGTTGCGTCGTCGGGGCCACCCATTTTTTTTTGTGAGAAGTGATTCACAATAACGCTAACATTCCTTTGAACCAATAAACTTCCGTGTGTTTGCTTCGTCCTGTCCACTGAATGGTTGGAATTTAACGGAATCTGCCGAACCCGGCTCCATACAATTTAAACTATTTTTGATAAAGCTAAATTACTGCGACAGTTGCCCTTCAGACCAACGTAAGTAAAAATCATTTTACGTATAGACTAATATCCCCACTAATATCTTTGACGTCCTTTTGAAGTGCATCTCAACATCATAAATTTTTTGAATGTTATGTCAGAATTTATTTAATTCTAACTCTTGTAGTTTCTTTTAGTACTTTGGTACCTCGCCATAGATTAGTGCCTTTTTATTTTGGTACAAGTCTCTGTACTAACTTAGTACTTAAATATTAAGTTTTTATTTCAAGTACTGTCTGTACACATTGCACTTCGTCCCGAATAATATTATGGTACAAATAACCCATAGTCGAACTCATTCTGAATAGTAAGACTGTTAATAACTTGTTAGTAACCTAACTAATAGTCAACGGTAAATGGGCTAACTGGCGACGGGAGTAACCGAATTGGTTCCCGTTTGAAAAATATATGTTATTAAGTTCAGCTGAATTGGTT